TGATACTGCCTCGGAAACCCAAGGATGGATTGCACTGAGTTGGATCTGACTCCATGGCATTGGATATGTTCCCCCTAAAAGAAGTTTTTGCCCTGGAACCTCAGAATGTTGACCTTATTTGGAAATGGATCCAAATTGAGGAATCTATCTGTTAACTTTTCCCAAAGATTTTGGTCTTTGCCCTAGGTTCCTGAAACATCTCTTAAAAAAACTCCTTGGAATTTAAGTGTTTCTTATAAGGTCTCCCGACCACATTTAACTAGCAGGGTAAATGAGATAGTCAAAGGATCCTGGAGTGGGTGCTGTCCACAGAAAGACCCAGCTCATGATCAGTTTGTGCTTTTGACCTATGGAAAGAGGGGTAGAGTTTACATTACATAATGAGACTCCCAGTAAAAGCTCTTGACATTAAAGTTCCATGGACTTCCGGTTTTGTGAAAGATACCCTTGCCCATGGGAGAGTAGCTTGTCAGTTTTTGGGGTATGGAAGCTCTGTGTTGAGAACCCTCCCAGATCCTGCCCTAAGCATCCTTTCCTTATGCAAATCCTGCTTTTGTATTCTTTACAATAAAACTATAATTGTAAATACAGCGCTTTACGTGAGTTCTGTGAATTATCGAACCCGAGAGAGTAGTGATAGCCAGCAGGTCAGAAGGGAAGGCGCCCAGGGGAGACTTGTGGCTGGAGTCTGCCTATTTAGCAGTCTGAAGGACAGTATCCTTTACTCTTGGGAGATCTGAAGTCGTTCTGGGTGGCAAATATCAGAGAAAGGAGTGCTGCTTGGATGGTTGGTGTCAGTACTGAACAGAGAAGTAAAAAGTGGGGATTGATACTAAGTATTATCTTTGTAGGTTCTTGCAGTTGTATTTAGTTAAGATGAGATTTATGAGTTGTCTCTATAATGTCCTTTAGAGCAAAAAGTCCAGTTTAGAATCACATGCCAGATTAGTTGACATGTTACTTTGGCCTCTTTCAGTTTGGAACAGTTACTCAGCCTTTCCTTGATTTAAAAGATTACAAGCCAGTGTTTTGTACAATGAACTTTAATTTGGTTTGTCTGATATTTTCTCATGATTAGATTCAGGTTATGCGTTTCAGGCAGGAATTTTACAAAACTGATTGTGTTCTTATTGTATTCTATCAAGTGGTTTATTGTCAGTCCCATGGCTGATGTTGTTCATTCATCACTTGATTAAGGTGATGTCTGCCATGCTTCCTATATTTGTTTCTGATTCGTGTTATAACAAATTACCAAAGCACAGAACAGCACAACAGAAGTCCAAAATCAGTTTCATTAGGCTAAAGTCAAGGTGTCAAAAGGTCTAGTTCTTTCTGGAGGCTCTGGGGGCGAGTCTGTTTCCTTGCTTTTTCTAGCTTCTAGAGACCACCTACGTTCTCTGGTTGTGGCTTCTCCATTCTCAAAGTACATTACTCCGGTTCCTGCCTTTTCTGTCTTTGACCCTCCTTCTTCCCTATTACAAGGATCCTTAGGAACTCTGGTGGTATAGTGGTTAACACATTCAGCTGCTAGCTAAAAGTTTGGTGGTTTGAACCCATTAGCTGCTCCATGGGAGAAAGGTGAGGCAGCCTTGGAAACCCTATGGGGCAGTTCTACTCTATCTTGTTGGGTTGCTATGAGTCAGGCTTGATTCTATGGCAGTGTTGTTGTTAGGTGTCGTCAAGTTGTCTCCGACTCATAGTGACCCTATGTACAGCAGAACAAAACACTGCCTGATCCTGTGCGAGCTCCACGATCCTTGCTATACTTGAGCCCATTGCTGCAGCCACTATGTCAGTCCATCTCGTTGAGGGCCTTCCCTCTTTCGTCGACCCTCCACCTTACCAAGCATGACATCCATCTCCAGGTAATGATCCCTTCTGGCCAAAGTAGGTGAGATGAAGTCTGGCCATTCTCGCTTCCAAGGAGCATTCTGGCTGCACTTCCTCCAGGACAGATTTGTTAGTTCTTTTAGCAGTCCATGGTACTTTCAGCATTCTTCACCAGGACCACAACTCAATAGCTCAGTTCTTCTTCGGTCTTCTTTATTCATTGTCCAGCTTTCACATGCATCTGAAGTGATTGAAAATATCATGGCTTGTGTCAGGTGTACCTTACCCCTCAAGGAGACTTCTTTGTACCTCAGCATTTGAAAGAGGTCCTTTGCAGCTGACTTACCCAATAGTATATGTCGTGTGATATCCTGACTGCTGCTTCCATTGGTGTTGATTGTAGAACCAAGCAATGTGATGTCTGACAACTTAAATCTTTTCTTCACTTATCGTGATGTTGCTTTTTGGTCCAGTTGTGAGGATTTTTGTTTTCTTTATATTGAGGAGTAATCCATACTGCATTCTTCGACTTCATCAGTAAATGTTTCAAGTCATCCTCACTCTCAGCAAGGAAAGTTGTGTCGTCAGTGTATTGCAGGTTAATGATTCTTCCTCCAATCTTGATGCTACGTTCTTCTTCATAGAGTCCAGCTTCTTGCATTATTTGCTCAGCATATAGATTGAATGAGCATGGTGAAAGGATACAGCCCTGACATGCTCCCTTCCTTATTTTAAACCATGCAGTATCCCCTTATTCTATTCGAACCACAGCTTCCTGGTCTATGTACAGTTTCCTCATGAGTACAATTAATGTTCTGAAATTCCCATTCTTCTCAAAGTTATCCATAATTTCTTATGACCCACACAATTAAATGCTTTTGCATAGCCAATAAAACACAAACATCTTTCTGGTGTTTGCTTTGAGCCAAGATCCATCTGACATCAGCAATGATATCTCTATTCCACGTCCTCTTCTGAATCCAGCTTGCACCTCTGGAAGTTCTCTGTCAATATACTGCTGCAACCATTTTTGAATTATCTTCAATAAGATTTTACTTGCATGGGATATTAATGATATTGTTTGATAATTTCCCCATTCTGTGGGATCACCCTTCTTTGGAATGGGTACAAATATGGACCTCTTTCAGTCAGTTGGCCAGGTAGCTGTCTTCCAAATTTCTTGGCGTAACTGGGTGAGTGCCTCCAGTGGGACATCCATTTGCTGAAACATCTCAGTGGGTATTCTGTCAATTCCTGGAGCATTGTTCTTTGCCACTTTCTTCAGTGCAGCTTTGACTTCTTCCTTTAATACCATTGGTTTTTGAACATATGCCACTTCCTGAAATGGATGAAGATCAACCAGTTCTTTTTGGTACAGTGACTGTGTGTTCCTTCCATCTTCTTTTGATGCATCTTCTTTCTATAGCAGTAGGTTTGATTTAGTTTTTGTGATTACATTGGGCCCACATGGATAATCTAGAATAATCATCCCTGTTTTGTGCACTGTTATGTAAGGTATCAGTGTGAACTAATGTCTTTTACTATAGAAATATAGATGTAAGTGTGTGTGTGTGTGTGTGTGTGTATCCTCTAGCTCTTAGTTCTACAGAGCACACTAAGGAGCAGTGACATACCAATAGCAGTGAGCTCACTTAGCGCCCATATCTTGACTTCTAATGGGAGCCAGTAATATAGCAGGCAGTGTTTACTGCTATTCTTAAGGATTTCACTGGCCAATTCATTGAGAAGTGGATTGCCCCTTTCTTCTGAGTTTGTCTTAGTCTGGAAGCTCTGCTGAAACCTGTCTACCATGGGTAACAATGCTGGCATTTGAAACACCGATGGCACAGCCTCCAGCCTCACAGCAACATGCAAGGCACCGCAGTATGACAAAATGACAGATGAGTGGTGAATGCTGGAGTGAATGATGCAGGAAACATCAAAAGAAGATGGAAATAATACAGAGTCATTGTACCAAAAAGAACTGGTTGATGTTCACACTGATATCTTATGTAACAGTCCAGCAATGCAGGTTTTATTCTGTTTTCTATTTTACGTATCTGTAATTCCCTTCACTGGTTGTAAAAAACTAACTCCAGTCATCTATAATATATACATTTTTATTTGATCAGTCTGTCCTGTATGTCATCAGTCTTGTTTTTTCTGACACCACTCCATGCCCCTTTTCTCTATTGCTCCCTCAATACTACACCTAGTTTTGATACTTTCTGCTAGATAGCTCTCCTATATGCATGCCTTCTTCAGAGCATAGGAGCATAGGGAATTGTACCTTTTATATAAAAGAAAAGTTCTTTTACTTATCTCACAACTCATTTAAGGACTATGGTTTTGTAGATTTTTATTTTAGAATTTTAGAAAAAGTCAGATTTGTGGCATTGAGTTTATTCCACCTTTGTTTTGACTGAAAGTTGATTTTATCATAAAGCTCCAAATTGTATTTGTTTTATAGTTTAAATAGATGAAATTAAACTTTGCAGATTAGGGGATATTCTAGTAAGCCATTGCTTTTTGTTTGAAGAGTGTCATTTCATTTTAGCTTACTTTGTAAACCACATGTTTTAAATATTTTATGTTTTTTCCTTGTACAGCAGAAGGGGAAGGAGGAGAATAGGTCTTAGAAATTACTGAATTTTATGACTGAATAGTTTATGGTCAAGTCATTTTTTGTGTTTTTTAAGAAGAAATTATTTCCTTAAGCTTCACAGGAAAAATGATTGCCTCTGGTGGCACAGTGGTTAAATACTGGGCTGTTACCTGATAGATTGGCAGTTAGAATCCACTAGCTGCTCTGGGAGAAAGATGAGGCAGTCTGCTTGTGTTAAAGATTTATAGCCTTGGAAACTCTTTATAGCTGTTCTGCTCTATTCTATAGGGTTGCTATGACTCAACTTAGACTTTATAGTACTGTTTTTTTTTTTTTTTTTTTGTTTGTTTGTTTGTTTGGTACTTCAATAAAGTTTTTCAGATAGATTGATTGTTCTGAAAGGCTGAATATATCTACTTTATAATTTTTAAAAAGTTATTTAAATACACAAGATTTTCATGTTCTAGTAAAGTAGTATCATAAAGGTTAACATGATATTAACTCTGGTTTTGACTTCGCTGTGAAAAATGATTTTACTAAGCATCTTATTTTTCTTTTTTGACAGAGCAAATTCGATTAAAGAATATCAGAAAAGTTTATGGAAGATGTATGTGGTATCGCTTACGACTTTTAAAACCTCAGCCAAATATTATTCCTACAGTAAAGTAAGTAATGGATTTAAATAAAAGAAACACACAATGCTTAGTGTTTGCTAGATATATAGAGTTATGATGAATAAGACATTGCACCTATAAAAAACTTGTAGCCTATCTAAATGATTAGTAAGTTTGAGAATTGTGTCTGAACAGAGTGGCTTATAGAAGATCAAAGGAAGGAGAGAGTGTACTTTTGACTGGGGAGAGGAGGAACAAGACAGAGAAGTTACCTCTTGATGAAGGATTTTGTGTACCCTGTGTCAATATTTGAATTTTATCTTAAAGACTATGGAGGTATTTAAAAAGATTTTAAAAGTAGAGTTGTGACATGGTTTCTATTTCATGGTGATAATTAAGGTTTATTGAGCATGTACTGAATGCTAGCTGCTGTGCTAGGATTTTATATGTTATTTAATTCTGTGTTAACTTCAAGGTAGTTATTTTTGCTGCTTTTACTTAGATGAGGAAAGTGAGACTAAGAAAGATGAGATCATATAGTTAGGAGTGGTAGAGTATGTATCTAATCACTACATTTTGGTAGGCCCATCTGTTGAAACAGGCCATAGCGTGGTGAAGTAGTGCGGTGTAGTAAATTACCTGGTACGGCTTTTCTAGCCATAAATAAGTCTTTGTAAACTCCATGGTGGAATTGGCTGTGAGCAACTGAGGAGTTCCTGATTGTAAGAGTTATCTACCTGGAATATTTCTGTTGGGAGTGGCACAAGCAATGTTTTGGGAAGTTCGCTCTCTTTCAGGTGTTTAGAATTCTGATGATATGATTGGCTAGTTTGGCCACTCTGCCAGGCTCAAAAGGAGGCCTCCTAGAGGCAGAGGGCTCTCTCTGACTGCTGGGTGAGAAGGACGTGCTGCTGAAAGAGACACTTGCTCCTGAGGAACATGCACTGCTGGGAAAGAGACACAAGAGACACGCATTGCTGAGTGAGACACCAAGGGATAAGCACTGCTGGGAGAGAGACTGTGAGAGACTGTTGGCTGAGAGACGGCGGGCTGAGAGAGACTGAGCGTTTTTCCTGAACTTGAATTGTAGCCTGGTGCTTTCCTAATAAACCCCATAATCTGTGAGTTGTGTGTGGCCACTGCAGTGAATTATCGAACCCAGCAGAAAGGTGGTGAGTGCTGCAGGAGGAATGGTTGGTGTTGGAGTTGATGAAAGGGCTGAAGGGAGGCAGCATGTCTGGCCTCACAGTAATGGGCCTTAGGCTACTGATAGTGATTCTGTCTTCCTCCTGTGGGGTTAGAGGAGGTCAGAAGATGTGGCCTCCCTGCCCTTTTAGCAAGTAGAGATGGCCTACTTGATTCTGTGAGGCTATAGGGTGTGCTGGTTAAGAGCCTAGGCTTTGGACCTTCATCCTAGGTCATCAGTATATAGGTTGTTGTTGTTGTTGTTGTTATGTGCCGTCAAGTCAGCCCTGACTCATAGCGACCCCTCCTTGGGTTTCCGAGGCAGTATCACTACGGAAGTAGGATTGCCCAACCTTCTTCCGAGGAGTGGCTGGGGGGTTTGAACCGCCAGCCGTCTGGTTAGCAGGCAAGTGTCTTAGCCACTATGCTACCAGAGCTCCCACTATATAGGTAGTAGGTGAAATTATGGCAAGAAGTCAAAGCGTTGCTGTTTTTGGAAGACTGTCTTGTGAATTACTTACATGTATTCATCCAGGACAAGACCTAGTAGAGGAGATTATAGAACGAGAACTATTTTTTTAATCTTGGTTTAAATGATGATGCTTTTCAATTTATCTGTGTAACTTTGGAGAGTTTAAGAAGAATTTTCTTACTCTTTGTCAGGTCTGACTGTGCTTAAGTTTAGTTTCTTTGTAGGGGGAAGGATATCTTAGCTTTGGTATTAGGATTTCTTCATTGTGAAACCAAAGGCAAAACTAGTCTTTACAAGCATAATTTTATATTAATAGTTTATTCATTTTTAGCTGTTAGCACTCATTTTGAATTAAACTATTAGGAGGCTTCAAGGTAAATATTTTTTTATTTCCCATTTTTTCTCTTTTTGGGTTTGGTCAATATTATGTATGTATCTGAACCTACCTTATTTTGGCATACTGGTTAAGTGCTTGACTGCTTACTGAAAGGTTGGTGTGGTGTAATAACTTACATGGTATGGCTTTTCTAGCCATAGTCTTTGTAACTCCCACTTTGCCATAAGCAACTAAGTAGCTGATTGTTAAATTATCCACTTGGTGTATTTCTGTTGGAGCAGCATGAAACAATTTTCTGGGAAGTTCGATCTCTTTCAGGTGTATAAAATTTGGATGCTGGGATTGGTTGGTTTTGGCCAGGTTCGAAAAGGAGCCCTTCTAGAGGCAGGAGGAGAATCTCTCTGATTGCTGCCTGAGAGAGATTCACTGCCGAAAGAGATGTACTGCTGAGGAAGAGACATGAGAAAGACGTGCTACTGAGAGAGAGTTGAGAGACACACACTGCTGAGAGAGAGGTGTGCTACTGAGAGAGATATTGAGCGGCAGCCTCCCGAGAGATACGGCTGGCTGAGAGAGACTTAGCTTGTTCCTGAACTTGAATTGTAGCCTGTTGCTTCCCTAATAAACCCCATAATCTATGAGTTCTGCGTGGCCATATCAGTGAATTACCTAGAAAGGTGGTGGGTGCCATGGGGGAACAGTTGGTGACAAGGTCAGTAAGAGGGTTGGAGGGTGGTGGCATGTCTGGTCTCACAAAAACAGGCCTTGGGCTGCTGCTGATGATTCTGTCTTCCTCTTGTGTGGTTAGAGGAGGTCAGAAGATGCCATCTCCCTGTCCTTTTAGCAGTTGGCAGTTTGAAACTAGCAGCTGCTCCACAGAGGAAAGGTGAGGAAGTCTGCTTCCATAAAGATTTATAGCCTATGAATCAGAATCAACTTGATGGCAGTGGGTTTGATTATTTTGTTTGGTAACAGTTTAGGTAAAGTCAAAAATCATGAAAATCTTTTTGTTATTTAGCCTCAAAGCGTCCTTTCAAATCAAATAGTCATTATGTAATGCTTCTCTTCTGACAGAGTCCCTGAAAGTAAGCTACATAATTTATGGAATTTGCTTCCAAAAGACATTTCTTTTCTTTCTTTCTTTTTTTATTTTCTTTTAAATTTTATTGTGCTTTGGTACAAATTTAGAGAGCAAATTTGTTTTACATTCAGAAGTTTGTATACATTTGATTTCATACCTCAATTACCATTCCCAACCATAACAAAGTCTCCTCCTCTCCCATCCCTGTGACTACCTCTGCCCTGTGCCCTTCTTAACTATGTACTCCTGTCTGTCCAGCTTTCCCTCTATGTTAATGCTACCCCTCTGGTGCCTCATGGCTGATTGTTCTAAGGTGTACATCTTCCTGGAGTAGGTGAGTGGATTGCTCTGGGGTTGTTCTATGTGTAGGTCTTTCTGTTGTTGGGCTGAGAGCCAATCCATGGGAGTGAGTCCATCTCTAGGCCTGAAGGGTAACCTGGGGCCATAGTCTTGGGGGTTCTACCAAACTATCTGACTAGTAATTCTGGTCATTTTTGTGTTTTTGAATTTCGTTCCACATTTTTCCTCCCACTCTATCCAGGATCTCCAGTTTTGATCCTTTTCTGAGAGATTGGCATTGGTAGCTGGGCACTCTTTTTTTTTTTTTAAATTGTGATTTGGGTGAAGATTTACAGAGCAAATTCACTTTCTATACAGCAGTTCACATATACTTTGT